ATGTGCCGGGAGACAAGCGATTTGAAGAGTGACTCTCGCAAGGTCAAGAAGAGCCCTTTGCATTCGCTGGACAGTCCGCAGAGGTCCATGCAGGACGCATTGGGGTCGTCGAATTGTGCTTCAGGAAATAATGGTGTTGAAGAGGTGACTGTGCTGTGGGATGGAAATGACCGGCTGTTCACGCTGGCGCCCTGTTGCTAACTCCTCTAAAGGGGAGTGCACCGTGTCTCGTACAACATGTTGGTTGCCTGACGTGCTGGAGGACCCTGAAATGTCGTTTGGGTTGTTTCCTTTGGTGCTTCATCTCTGCATCTTGTCACCCCCTCTTTTATCCCTCTCACTTCTTGTTTTTGTTTGGTTGCCTAACTACGTGCCTTATTTGGGGTGAGTGGCTGTAGCACACACACACACACACACATCGATACAATCGTCGTGTTTGTCGAGTTGACGCCGGAACAGGAGGCATCACGCATGACGGCGCGTGAGGCGGTGCTGACGACAAAGGCAATGTTGGCTGCCGTGCCAGGGGCGTCACTCCTCTCACGTGAGGCGTTCATTACGATTTGCGTAAAGGCGTCACTTGCTTTCCTCCAGAAGAGGGGGTGGCAGAGGAGCAGCAACAAAGGCGGCAAGCGCGACGGCGACGGTGATGGCAGACGGAAGCCACGTGCCTTGTTGTCCCCGCACACCGATGTGACGCAGAGCAAGGGAAATAATTTCACCCACCACCACAGCTACCATCAGCCGCCGCAGCACTGCCGAAGTAACAGTGGTGGCGGTAACAAAAATAACGCGGCGCAGCTGAGGCCTCGACATGGCACATCAGGGCGATGGAGTGTAGATGAGCAAGAAAAGGAACCACCTCAACACCGGTGGCGATCGCCGTTTAGCGAGGGCGAGTTGAGGCGCCTGCGGGAGTTGGTGGAGAGAGAGTACGCCGCGTTGCACCGTGACATTGCCGCAGTCCCAGGCGATGTAGTTACCACGCAGTTTACCGCTCTACCGCCCGCTAAACAGGAGGCGGTCACAATTATTCGGCAGGCGTTACAGGATCCATACCGCCGTGGCGCCATCTCCAGGCATCACTATTCCGCCATTGTGCTTGCGGTGATGGAAACGCTGTTTCCCGACCTTGTTAGCGTAACGAGTGATTCCACACTGCCAGGCAGCAGAAGTCCCAGTAGGAGTAGTAGTCGTAACGGTGGTGGCGGCGCCAGCAGCAACAATGTGAGGGGAAATGTCGTTAAAGGGGCGATGGTGGAGGGGGTGGAGGAAGAAGAGGTCTTTGTGGATCCTCCGCAAGATCCACATGCCGCACTGCGCCCGGATGTGGTTGAGCTAACAATGCATCTGACAGAGCGAGCACTGCAGCATTATATCCTCTCTAACCACAACGCACATCAATCGAGGGTGGTGGAGGAGGACGTGGCGGAAACGGGCGAGGTGTGCCGTGGGAGATGGGTCACTAATGATGTCAGTCCACTCCCTCGTGACCCGTACGACCCAGTCACGTCGCAGGCGGTCGGGCAGGACGGCACGCCCACGCCAGTGGTTTTTTCTCCGCAGTTTGACGATGCCTTTGAGGAGCAAGTGGAAAAGCTGCGTCAGCTGCTGGAAAAGAAGTACGCGCTTGGCCTCTCCGACACGTGTGCCGGATCCAGCCGGCGAAGCGGTTGTGCGTCAGGCGACGATGCCGCAAAGAGGACGACCAATGTGAAGAGCAACGCTGCAACTGATGGTTCTGCTGCAGCAAATGCCCGTGGCCAGACGTTGTGCGGCGGTGGGCGCACCGCGGAGGTGCCTGTTGCTGCGAGAGAAAAGCGGGAAGAACTACTCGCGGAAGCGCTGCGCTGTCAGAAGGAGTTGTATCGGACCCACGCACGGCTCAGCGAAATCATGCAGGACCTTTGTGAGACTGAGCACTTCAGCAGCGACCCCACCGGCTGTGTGTAAAGGCTACTGCCGATGGTGTCTGGAAGAGGAAGGGGGAACCAACGACAATACAATGCAGGACAGAGGTATGTATTGTGCGTAGCGTCCAGGCGGTGTAAGTTTATTTGTTTCCATATATATGTCTTTCTGTTGTACTTATCCGCGTTAAACAGTTGTTGCCGTAAATACGACGCGTGGAAGAAGGGGCTGAGCCTTGAGGCACATCTATCGTTGCAATGAAATAAGCGTAAATTACTAGAAGGATGAGGCAAATAGCCAAACTAAAGCAAAAAGAGAGAGAGAGGGGTGGGGTGTATTCTTTACAGGACTTTAAGCATTGTGATGTCATATATATATTTGGTGTATTATCTTATGTTGATTAGTCGCGCAGGTGGTGTGAGTGGAGTGGGCTGAGTGGGGGAGGAGCTTAATGCCTGCCTGATTTTTTGCTTTTATGCTTGCGCCATCATGCGGCGGTGTGTTGAAGGTGCATGCATGTAATTTGTTTACTTTTGCCTCTTTTCTTTTTAACCCAACATGCAGCGGCATTGCAGCGGTACAACTTTCACACCTGAAACGAGGGAGCGGAAAAAAAGCCAGCAAAAACGGGGAGGGGGGAAAAAACATCTGACAAGTGAGACGTCTTTGCCGCACCACAGAAAGACACGGGGGCGCACGCGTACAGAAGCAAGGAATATCTTACTCCTATCTTCACAGGAGAGAAAAGGAAGAGCGGGTTTGTCGTGCAGTACGGACACGCAAAGCGACGGACGGGGGAACTGGCTACGCAGGTGCAGGCTAATACGAGGGCCAAGGCAAGTCGGAGTTCAACCCAGTACTCCACTTCTGGATTTGTCATTTCATGTCCAAGGAGGGTGCAGCAGCTGGCGGCAGCCGTAAACGTGAGGGAGGCAACGCCACCCAGGCGAGCATGGTGTCAAAAGAAGAATTAGCAAATATTGAGACCCTCACGAACGCTCAGCTGCGAACCCGCGCAGCGCAATTACAACGCGAGATTCAGCAGCTGAAGAACGAGGAAGTTTCAAGTATGAATGAGTTGTTGCGGATCAAGAAGGAGGTGGCGGAGGACAGGAAGCGGGTGAAGGACAACAATAAGCTGCCGTACCTGGTAGCCAGCATATCTGAGATTTTGGATTTGGATGATAACGAGGATGAGATGGAGGAACTGGATGTGGGCAGAAAGAAGTCGAAGCGAAAGCAAAAGAGTGCCATTGTAAAGACGTCAAACCGGCATACCGTTTTTTTGCCTGTGGTGGGGTTGGTGGATGCAAACAAGCTCGGACCACAAGACTTGGTGGGCGTCAACAAAGACACCTACCTGGTCTTGGACACACTACCACCCGAGTATGACAGTCGTGTGAAGGCGATGGAGATTGAGGAGAAGCCAAAGGAGAAGTACACGGATGTGGGGGGTCTTGACAAGCAAATTAATGAAATGATCGAGGCTGTCGTATTACCCATCACGGAGAAGGCAAAGTTTGCGCGTATTGGCATTAAACCACCAAAAGGGGTGTTGCTTTACGGTTCGCCGGGTACTGGAAAGACGATGCTGGCCCGTGCGTGTGCAGCCGCCACAGATGCGTGTTTTCTCCGGCTTGCGGGGCCTCAGTTGGTGCAGATGTACATTGGCGAGGGTGCCCGTATCTTACGTGACGCCTTTGCTCTTGCAAAGAAGAAGGCACCAACAATCATATTCATTGATGAGCTGGACGCCATCGGGTCACGTCGCTCCGATGAGGGTGGCAAGCACGGTTCCAGGGAGGTGCAACGAACTATGTTGGAACTTCTCTCACAGCTTGATGGCTTCGGCAGCACCGATGATGTGAAGGTAATTGCAGCCACCAATCGCATTGATGTGCTCGATCCCGCACTGCTGCGTAGTGGGCGGCTGGATCGGAAGATAGAGTTTACACTTCCAGATGAGGAGGCACGGGCACGAATTCTTGAAATTCATTCCCGTCGCATGGCTCTTCACGGGGATGTCAACTTTGAGGAAATTGCCCGCATGACAGAAGATATGAACGGGGCGCAGTTAAAAGCGGTGTGCGTGGAGGCGGGTATGCTGGCGCTGCGCAACGACCGTGTGTATGTGGCACATGAGGATTTTGCGGAGGGCGTTACGGCTGTACAGGCTCGCAAGAAGTCTAGCCTGAACTACTACGCATGACACGTCTTTCTCCCCCTCCAGCGAGTTATGTTCAGCAGGCAGCGAGGGGAGGTGGAGGCCACGAAGGAAACGGGGAAGGGAAGGGGGGGGAGGGAAGAAAAAAAGGTGACGTGGGAGAGTGAAGGAAAAGAAAAAAAAGGAGAACAGAAAGAAAGCAAAAAAAAAAAAAGAAGCGGAAATATATGTGCAAGGAGGACATGAATATTTTTATGCATGTGCCATACACGCATCGCCTTTGCTCTCTCTCTCTCTCTCTCTCTCATGCTGCGCTTGTGTGCTTCTCTGTGTCTCTGGGGCGGAGAGGGATGAATGCGGCTGAAGGAAGGGACTGTTGCTGGCGGTCTCTGCATTTTTCCCCACCAATAGTTTTTCTTGCTTTTTTTGTCTCTTCTGTCTGATCCATAATTTGTCTCCATCCAACAGCAAAAAAACAACAACAAAAAAGAACAAAAAAACACGAGAGGGTGCACTAGCAGCAATAGGAGGCGTAGTACGGTGACTCTCAACTGAGTTTAGTGTGTGCGCGTGTCCACAACTAACATTCTAATCGATACTTTTACTCCTTTTTTTTTTTAGTCCTATCTATTCCTTTTTCTGTGGCTCTCCCCTTTTTGCGGCTGCCGTGGTTGTTGGTGAAGGTAGGGGTGGGAACACGTTCCGTTACCATGGATCTGCCTGCCACCGTAAGATCCACTGGGACGCTGGAGCGATCCCGTGCGCCTGACGCTCTTTTGGGGCAGACACAGCCGCAGCAGGAGGAGCGGCGGGCGGGACAGCAGGAACGCGCAAATTGTACTCGTGCTGGAGAGGAAAATCCACACAGCGCCGCGGATGCCCATCGGCGCCTCATGCAAGATTTAAAACGGATACAATGTGCTTCTAACTCGCATTTTTCGGCACGCCCAGTTGACGGAGACCTCTTTCATTGGCGGGCCATTGTGCTTGGGCCTGACAGTACAGTCTGGGAGGGTGGGATCTTCAAGCTGCAGCTGAACTTCACCGTCGAATATCCGTGTGCGCCACCGAAAGTTCGATTTCTGACAAAGGACATGTTTCATCCAAACGTGTACGTTGATGGAAATATATGCCTTGACACACTGAAGAGTTGCTGGAGCCCGATAATCGATGTTGAATCCCTGCTGATGATGGTCATATCACTTTTGTCAGATCCCAACCCCAATTCCGCCGCGAACGGTGAGGCTGCCTCGTTATACACAAATGCAAGGGACAAATATGACGAACGCGTAAGACGTCTTGTAGAGGCCTCGCTTGAGCAATCCTTCTCGGATGCAGAGGATGAATGAGACGCAATAACTTGCAGAAGTGGCTGCCTGTTGCGTCGTCTCTCATGATGTTTTTCAAACCATCGTCCAAGTCCTATAATTTGCTTCTGTTCTAGGACGCGTGGTGCTCGTGACTGTTGGGTCTCTACGCTGCTTCTAAAAAAAGGCATCCTGCTGGTGCGTTGCCATTAGCTGTGTGTGTAAGTGCTGCCGGGGGAAGGAGTGACCGGGTTCGTGTGTGGAGAAACGATGGAACAAACCAAAACACATACAAAATAATAACAAAAGCTGGCCAGACCAAGGAGGAACATGGCAAGCGTGACAAATTGAAGATGAGACAACCGCGCAACATTGCTTGATATTTTTCAGCACGAACACGCACAGACACACATACGCTCTTCTCCCTCGCTCTCTCCCCGTTAAGGGAGTCAGCAGAAACCTTTTTTATTTTTGTTTGTTTTTTATATCCAGCAACTGTTTCCTATTTATATGTGCCTGCATGTTTTTCTGCTGGTGAACAGTGGAATATTAGGAGGTAGCTCCCCACGGTGATGACATCATCGATTTGCGTGAACTCATTCTACACCCCAATCCATACTGACGCATGATAGCTTTGTGCTGTGCAGAGGGAGAGAAAGAGGGGAGGGGGAAAGAGATCAAAGGTAAGAAGGGTGTTTGCAGAGCGGAAACGACGTGTTTTGCTAATTCTTTTTTTTTTTTGGTTTTTGTTGTGTTTCTGTGCAGTGCTGCACTCTGCGGCTTGAATGGAGCGGATGGGGCTTTGCCTGCTGCTCTTTTTTTTTTTTTCTCCGGCTCTTATTGTGCCCTCTCCTCCTTCCTAACAACACGCACACGCACCATGTGCACGAATTTTACGTGCTTGCCGAAGGCGATTCGTATCAATTCGGTGTAAAGGGGGACGTGCGAGCTGCGTCTCCATTCACACTGTGCATGAACAACGAACGTGTGCTAGTGAGTGGCAGCCGGTTACGACTTGTCCCGTACTTGGCGCACCATGTCCCTCGATACTATGAATGGATGGGCGACAGTGAGCTGATGCAGTGCACGGCAAGTGAGAGACTTACGTTGGAGGAGGAGTACGACAATCAGCGCGATTGGCTACATGCGGAGGACAAACTGACGTTTATAGTTCTCGCCCCACTTTCTAGAATTGTAAAAAAAGCGCCCAGAAAGGTTATAGGGAATGCCGCCTTAGGAAAATGTACAGCAGTGAAGGACTCGATGGATGATGCTGACGTCGGAGCAGGTGGGACATCGGGGGGGAATAAGATTGCACGTGAAGATGCAGGCGCTGATGCCTCGCGGGATGGTGTTGGGCCCAAGGTGTCAGGGATAAGCACCCCTTTCGTGACCGCCTGCTTGACGCACACGGGCAGCACTTGTAGCCTGGCATGTGTGGATTGTGAGGTGGAGGGTCGCAACTCTGAGACCTATGTTATGGTTGGAGACTGTAACCTTTTTCGTCTCGGCAGCAACAGTGTGGAGCAGGTGGAGGGGGAGGAGGGGGGGGGTTGCTCCTTCGGACGCACACGGAGAGTGGTTTGAGGTGGCGGTGATGGTGGCCGAGCGTGCCTTTCGTCGGCAGGGTTTTGGCGAGGAGGCCGTGCGGCTTTTGATAAGTTACGCTATTGACAAACTCGGCGCCTCATGTTTTATTGCGAAGATTCTGAACACCAACACGTCCAGCATTCGCCTTTTTAGGGAGAAGCTGGGCTTCACCTTACTGAAGGAGGTTCCTGTCTTCAAGGAGTTGCATTTTGTTAAGTGCTTTACCAGTGCGGCGGAGCGGGTGGCGTGGAGGTGCGCTGTTGCCTACGCCGTCAGCGAGTATGATGCCACCACGGAAGAGGCGATACGCATCTTACATTTTGTGCCGGATACCGCTGAGTGCCGCAGGTATGAAGCCGAATAAGAGCTGCCGTAACTCACGTAATCGTGGGGCTAAGGAGAAGATACTTAAGGACCTAAAATGAAAACGAGGACAAAACAACAGCAACTACAAGGAATGGGTGGGCGCACTGTGGCCTACCGAGGGTGTGATGGTGGCAGTGGGAAAAAAGGAGCGGCGCTGCTCTTGTGTTTTTTTGCAGTTTTCGCCGCAATGTGGATCCGGAGAATGGGCCCCTCACTCTTCATACATGCCTAAGCACAGTAATTTATCGCGGAGAGACGTCTACCATACAGTGTGCTTCTTCGACGTCTGTCTCCGGGGATGTCTTACTGTGTATCTTTTATACTCCAATGGTTTGTCCTCGCTTTCATTTTTTTTTTTTTTGTCAATCTACGCTCAGTGGTCACTCAGGGTCAGACACCCTTCCTTTCTCACGCACACACCTGGGAAGAGAGAACAACATTTTTGCCCATATCGCGGACATCGCACGGTTCTCAATGGAACAGGGGGATGCAGTTGCTATGGGTGGTGGCGGTGATGATGGGTTGGGATTGAGCCCAGCTGAAAAGGGTCGTTTTACAAAGCGGGTACGCTCTGATGGGGATGTTCTCAGCACCGTTACTGGCCGTGACAACGAAGTAGCGCGCGAGCGACGCCCAACGCGATTTACTGTGCGACCCCATTATTTTCTTCCTGGCGACATTGTTTGGGTGCGCCCGGCTGGGCTGCCGTATTGGCCGGCGGAGGTGGTTCAGGCGGAGCTCGCAACTAACAGTGTCACCGCGCGCCTTTTTGATCCCCCGGCGTCACTCCTTCCGCCCGCGGACGAAGACGCGTTACGGGGCCACGTCACGGTGTCTAGCACGAAGGTGTTCTTTTTTGACCGCCTTCAGACGCCAGAGGAGGTAGAGGTGTGCGTCGAACAGCGACTGCAGCGGAGGACGCACAACGTTTCCGCCTACGAGGCAGACTTCCAGCGCGCCGTTCTGCATGCTAATCGGTTGGTGCGCATTGTTCTAAGTCCGGAAAAGCTTCAGCCGTACTCCATCTGCGGGGTTGGGGTGGTGCACAGTCTGATGCGAACGCACATATCGGCCCCACGGCAGCCGCACACAACAAACTTTGCCCCCCAAACTGCCGTCATTAAGCTGCGGGTTGGACTCGAGAACGCACTTCGAGACCTGCGTGGGTTCGAGTTCATTTGGGTGTTGTTTTCCTTCTCATACTCCACTCTGGCGGAGGAGCAGGAAGGTGAGAACGGGCCGAGCACTGTGGAGACCCTGCCAGAAGGAACGTCGCGTCGGCGACGACGACAAGGCGCTGAGCGTTCCGCAGGATTTAAAACAATGCTTGTGCCGCCACGGGACACGGAGCTGCGAGGGGTCTTTGCGACGCGAAGTCCGCACAGACCAAACTTTATTGGGCTCTCATGTGTGCGGCTTGTGGCCGTGCGTGGGCTAGAGATTCACATTGCCGACCACGATCTTCTGCACGGCACACCCGTGCTTGATATTAAGCCGTACTTGCCATTCTGCGACGCCCACCCGGACGCAAAGGCGGGTTGGGTGGAAGAGTTGGATACGTCTGGCGGGGGTGGTGCAGACCACAAGTATAACATGCAGCGGCGACAGGTGGACCGTATCTTTGAGGGGGAATGATGGTGCTTCCCCTCCTCTCGCTTTTTGACTGTGCACATGTTTCTAGCTGTTGTTTCTATTCATCGCGTTCACCAAGAGAGCGACAAGACAACACGGCAACAAAAGCAAAGACAAAAACAAAGGAGAGATGAGGGAATGGGCATGATGGCGCCTCGCTGCTCTTTTTGGTTATTCATTAACACAGTGGTCGTCGGCGTATGCAGTGTTGTTGTTATTGTTGTTTCTGTTGTTGTTGTTGCGTGCGTCTGTGTTTACATGCTGGCAAGATTTCTTCCTCTTGTTTCTCTCTGCTCTGGCTCTTGTATACGTGTAGGCGCGTCTTGCGGTATTGTATCTTTTGTCGTGTCTCTCTCGCCACTGCAGGTCTGACACGTGGCCACCGGCTTCACTTCCACAAGGTGGGGTTACCCCTTGCAAGAACTCATTCAAAAGATCCTTCTCCTCACTCTTTTTTTCTCACTCACCGTGCAGCCACACGCACGCGTATACGTACATACGAGCGCATACACAGCGGGAGACGGATTGCCTTGAGAGGGGGCGAGATTTAGGTGGTGGAGAGCCGGAAAAAAAAAAAGGACTGTGAGTTACTGACATTACAATTCTAGGAAAGGATCCATATATATATAAAGAGAGAGGGAGGGAGGAGAAAAAAAAAGTGTGAAATAATGCCACCGAGAGACATTACCGGACAAAGTTTGGCTCTTGATGAGTTTAAGCGCAAAGCCTATCTCACTTACCAGCGTTATCTCGACAAAAGCGTGCCGCACCGTTCAATGCGATGGGCAATGTTTGGTTTTCTGCTGATTTTTTATATGCTTCGTGTTTTCTTCCATGGCGGGTTCTATGTCATTACGTACGGTATGGGCATTCATCTATTGTACCTGCTGCTGCTCCTCATCACGCCGCTTGCTGAGGAGGAGTTTGCGGAGGACTCCCCGCTGCCAAGAACAGCTGCTGGTAATGATGAGGAGTTTCGCCCGTTTGTACCGCGCGTGCAGGAGTTTGTGGTGTGGAAGAGCATGTTCAAAGTTGTATCAATCTGCTTCTTCCTGACATTCTTTAACTTTCTGGACATCCCTGTCTTTTGGCCAATTCTTCTCATGTACTTTATCATCCTGACAGTGACGCAGATGGGCGGTCGCATTAAGCACATGATAAAGCACCGCTACGTCCCTTGGAATGCGGGGAAACCCAAGTACGTGGAAAAAGCCACCACCTAAGCTAATCTGCTTTGTGAATGGATGGGCGGTGGTGCGATAGTGTACGCACATATGACTATATTTCTATCCATATGCTTATATGTTACGTACCTACACACTAGAAACTGAGGGAATAGATGAGTTGAATCTGAGAACGATAAGGGAGCGGATATGTGAATCGGCCCTTTTGACACTTGACGCATGCGTATATATATATATATGTATATATATATACATTATGTGTGTGTATGCGCATGGTGTGGACTGTTGGTGACGATGGCAATGATGATCGTGAATTTTGAATGCCCTTTTTGTAGCTTTTTTTCTCCACGCATTTACTCTCTTTTTCACCCCCTCACTGCCACTCTGCGCAATCTACAGGGAAGCGGGGCGCCGACCACAGTTTGGGTGCAGAGCGACTGAAGAAAGGAACTCAGCAACAACAACAACAAACCGAAACAAAAGAAAGAAAGAAAAGAAAAGAGAAGAAAAAGACACAACAAGCATCGAAGGAATAAAAGGAAAGGAAGTGGGGCTCAGGGCAGTCGTTGACGTTGGGCGAGCCGATAGGAATACAGCTAACATCCACAGATGGCAAACGAAAAGGGTGCGTGCCAGACGACGAATACCGTCCGTGTAAAGGACAAGGACAACGAGGAGAAGGAGATTATTCCCCTTGACAAGGACGACATAGCGCTACTTAAACTCTATGGCTCAGGCCCGTACCACGCGCCAGTGAAGGAGTTGGAGGAGTTTGTCAAAACAAAAGGGGAGGAGGTCAACAAACTAGCAGGTGTAAAGGACAACGAACTTGGCCTTGCACCACCTGTGCAATGGGACCTCAACAGTGATCAGGAGGTGATGCGATCGGAGAACTCCCTTCATGTTGCACGGTGCACCCGTATTCTCAATAAGGGACAGGCGGATGCAAAGTATATTGTGAATATTCGCGATACCGCCAAATACGTTGTGAAACTCGGTAATCGTGTTGCCCCAGAGGATATTGAGGAGTCGATGCGGGTTGGTGTGCTACTGGGGTACTCCAGCATTCACATTGAAATCCCACTACCACCCCGTATCGACCCTTCGGTTTCAATGATGCAGGTGGAGGAGAAGCCGGATGTCACGTACAACGACGTGGGCGGAGTCAAGGAACAGATTGATCGCATCCGCGAGGTGGTAGAACTGCCACTGACACATCCGGAGAAATATACACAACTGGGTATTGACCCGCCGAAGGGTATCCTCCTTTATGGACCGCCAGGTACGGGCAAGACGCTGCTGGCAAAGGCCGTCGCAAATCGCACAGACGCCACCTTTATCCGTGTCATTGGATCCGAACTGGTGCAACGCTACATTGGCGAGGGTGCCCGTATGATTCGTGAGATATTTCAATTGGCCCGCTCAAAGAAGGCGGCCATTATTTTCTTTGACGAGGTAGATGCAGTGGGCGGAGCCCGGGGAGGTGATGACGGCGATGATGAGATTCAACGCACTATGCTGGAAATGGTTAATCAAATGGACGGATTTGACTCGCGCGGTAACGTGAAGGTTATCATGGCGACAAACCGCCCCGACACACTTGACCCCGCACTCACGCGCCCAGGACGCATGGACCGTCGCCTCGAGGTTGGACTACCAGATCTTGAGGGACGCACAAAAATTTTGCGCATTCACGCTAAATCTCTGTCATGTGAAAAGACCATTCGCTTTGAGCTAATTGCGCGTTTGTGCCCAAACGCCACTGGCGCAGACCTGCGATCGGTGTGCACAGAGGCTGGCATGTTTGCTATTCGCGCTCGACGCAAGACCATCAACGAAAAGGATTTTCTGGACGCCGTCAACAAGGTGATCAAGGGCCTTCACAAGTTCAGCGCCACAGCGAAGTATATGGTGTACAACTGAGGCGGAGGGGGAAAGCGGGAGGTATCGCGGACGAGGAAGCGAAGAAAAGCAAGGGTGCAAAAGAAAGAAAGAGAAAGAGAGAGAGAGGGTGCGTGCGCGTGTGTAGAAGGATGGAAAGGGAAGGGGTAATGCGTGAATTGAGGGAGGCGATATATATATATATATATATATGCTACAATGGCATGCGCATACACATCACTGTTTTCGGTGTTTGGATGTTTGTGCTTCAACCTTGCCACGTTACGCCTGTCTGGGGTGTTACCTTCTCCCTTGTTTTTGATACTTTCCGATTTGGCACGAATTTCTCTTTCATTCCCTTCCTTTTTTTTTCTTTGTGGGGGAGGG